CTGACTTTCAAGAGGAAGAAAAAGCCAAGGTTGAAGAGAGAGCAGATGAGAAAGAAGAAGTTGCTGAAGAGACTTTCATTAAGGAGGATGAAGAGTTTGGAAATGAGTATGTAGATGATCACAAAGTGAATGGCAAAATACATGGCTCAGACGAGGAAGAGCACGAAGAAGTTGAGGTTGTAAATGAACTCAATAATGAAAGTGAAATCAAAGTTGCAGCTTCAGTGACATATGAGTCTAGTGCACTGGGAATTGTTGATGAAAATTCTGCAGAAGACACCGTTCCTAGCAAGGAAGACAATGTTCCAAGCAAGGTTGAAGAAGCACCCGAGCCAGCTGCTTCTGATGCAGTGGATAGTAAAAGCATTCCAATGGATTATCGTGCCAGGAGGGCTTTGAGACAGAAACAAAAGGACACGGAGAGAGGTGAGACTGTTAATACAAGTATTTAAAAGTAGGGAGTTGTTGGTTTTTAGCTCATAAAATGTTTAAAGAATTGTTTGAGCTATGATATTGATAATCTCAAGTTCATTATAAGCCTTGCAATTGCAGCTTGTTCCACACTTGGGGGCTTTGTTGAGTCACAGGTACTAATGTACATGGACTGTCTTGAATTTATGCATGGGCACTTACTAATTTTTGTAACCAAAAACACTCAAAAAGGATGAGAAGCACTTGAATGCAACCTACATGCATGTTCCTTTGTGTGCATGTGCAGTCAGGGTTGTAAAAAAGTTTTGATGTAGGCAGCAAATAGTTGGATAAGGTGGCTGATTTTACCAACTTTTTGTAAGAGTGACATGAGTAGCCCAGTAGGTTACCCAGCCAAGATAATAATTAAGTAGATGGTGATTGTTTGCTGGCAGCTCTGGTGACAAACTTGACAGTACTCAAATTATTGTTCTTCATACATTGTTTGACATTGTTTGACATTGTTCCCTTAGTACATTCAGGGGTTTCATTAAGGGCCAGGTACTGGGGAAATTGACTGGAAGTGGGACTGGTTGCTGCATTGAGCACTATTGTTTGTGTTTTGTTGAATGTCAACAAAAAAATTTTTATGGATTGGAATCATCCCCCACCCCCTTCCCTGCCACTCTCAGCATCCTCTCTACATTTAATTAATTACTCCTTTGCATTCCTAGGGTCCACAAGTGATTCCTCCAGAACAAAATCTACTGAACTACAGCATGAAAAATCGGAAGATGCACATGACAGCAAGTCAAGCAAAGTTGAGGACAACACAGTGGTAGATGAAGAAAAGCCAAAGGCAGAGGAAGAAAAGAATGATCTAGCAGCAAGAAGAGCAGAGAGGCGTGAGAGAAGGAGACAGAGTGCTACTGCTTCAGAGGGTAATACTGATGAATCAGCTGACGCATTGGCTGCAAGAAGAACATCTTTAGCAGCTCGGAGAGCTGAACGAAGGCAAAGAAGGGAAGAAGCCACTGAGGAGAAAACAGCAAATGATGAAGAAGGGAAATCTTCTAGTGACAAAGTGGAAGAAGTGCAGTCTTCAATCAACGAGAGGAGAGCAGCCCGCAGAGCTGCAGCAAGAGCTGCTGAGGAAAAGACTGTAGCTAAAGAAGAGTCAGCACCTGTCAAGGAAGAAGAGAAGGAAGACAACTTAGCACAAAAGAGGCAGGAGCGAAGAGAGCGAGCCACAAGGCGTAGAAGCAGCAGTAAAGATGACTCCGAATCAGGAAAGAGTTCTTTGGTAAAACAAGAATCCTCTGAAGAGGACCAGTCTTCTCAAACAAGTAAGGCAACTTCTGAGGAGACGTCAACATACACTTCCACTGTGAAGGCGAGATTTGAGAGGAAAGCTGGTGAGGAGCAAACCAACAGTTCATCACAAGGAAGAAGTTCAAAGTCTTCAAATGATGAGGGTGAGAGATATTCAATACATAAGAGACTGTCAGAGGAGAGGCAAGGAGACCANAGGACACATTATAAACAGAAAACCTTACCAAAAGTTTACAAAACTGGAATCCCATCTTGCTAATCCTGGGTTAGCTTAATCGCATTTTGAACAACCTGGCCCTGTTCATTAATTCTACATTTTGTTCATTTCAAAGGGTAAGCAGTACCTGGGAGGTGCTAGTTTGATTACAATAACTCTAAATTTGACATTGTAACTCTTGAGAACTCGTAGAAGTTGAACAGAAGAACTTGAAAGTAGCAAATTTCTTAGATTTCTTCTCATTTTTCTGGCCCCGGCATTTTATGTCACAACACAAGATTCTGCACAGACTGAAGTAACCTTACGTGATGCTTTTTTTTTTAATTTTTGGACAGAGAACTAATCGCTTTACAGTGCAGCAGGAGAAGTGCGAAACATGCCAAAAGACTGTTTACCCAATGGAGAGGCTAGCAGCAGACAAGAAAGTCTTCCACAAAAGTTGCTTTAAATGCTCTGAGTGCAAAGCTACCCTGAGGTTTGTTAAAGTTTCTGTAATAATAATTTCATTATCTGGAAATAATTAATATCTAATAAGTCATGAGGGGACAACAGACATTAATGAAGGACAAGGAAAATTGACTTTTGTGGAATTTTGAACTCTACATAGAGGAATTTTTTCAGTCAGTGCTGGGTGCTGACTTTGTGATCTGTTATGAGTCCTTCAAGCAAAGGTTAGTTATGGGATATAATGTTATTAATTTTAGTGCAAAGGGGTGAAAGGGAAATCTTCTAGTGACAAAGTGGAAGAAGTGCAGTCTTCAATCAACGAGAGGAGAGCAGCCCGCAGAGCTGCAGCAAGAGCTGCTGAGGAAAAGACTGTAGCTAAAGAAGAGTCAGCACCTGTCAAGGAAGAAGAGAAGGAAGACAACTTAGCACAAAAGAGGCAGGAGCGAAGAGAGCGAGCCACAAGGCGTAGAAGCAGCAGTAAAGATGACTCCGAATCAGGAAAGAGTTCTTTGGTAAAACAAGAATCCTCTGAAGAGGACCAGTCTTCTCAAACAAGTAAGGCAACTTCTGAGGAGACGTCAACATACACTTCCACTGTGAAGGCGAGATTTGAGAGGAAAGCTGGTGAGGAGCAAACCAACAGTTCATCACAAGGAAGAAGTTCAAAGTCTTCAAATGATGAGGGTGAGAGATATTCAATACATAAGAGACTGTCAGAGGAGAGGCAAGGAGACCAGCAGGTATGTTTGTTTTTGTGAACAAATACACTTGGCTCCTTTTAGGGTGAAATGAAGGAACTAGAAGTTTTATTTGTGTTTGTGCTTAAAATGTACATGACTGTAATTTGAATGTCAGGGAGTTCATATATTCTTGGTTAGTTACTGCCCCTGCCCCTCCCTAGATGGGATTCTGTATGTGGTCAGGACTATCTCTATCATTTGCCAGGTAGCCCCTACAGGTGCCCAGTGATGTCCCTAAGTATCTGTCAATTGCACTTTTAATTACCAATTTAACAAGAACATAACAGATGAGGACCATTGTCCTCTTGAACCTGGAATATGCAGTCCACAATCTTTAAATGCAGTACAGTGTACTTATTTGCCTGCCAAACTGCCCGTAGATTCACTGCTGGATGGAGAATGTAATGAAAAAAATTATAATAATTGTAATAAAAACCTTGTTGCACATTTTGTTTTACTCTTTAAGTCACTGTAATTGTACATTTAAGAA